TGTGTGTGTGTGTGTGTGTGTGTGTGTGTGTGTGTGTGTGTGTGTGTGTGTGTGTGTGTGTGTGTGTGTGTGTGTGTGTGTGTGTGTGTGTGTGTGTGTGTGTCACCCTCTACGCCTTATTTACTTTAAAACAGACTTAGAGGGAGGAGGGGAGACATGACTACAATAGAGAGAAAAAAGGGTGAGGAAGAGGCCGCTGATTTAGAGCGACAGAGTCACATAAAGAGCGAGTCGTTTCCCTGCTTCAGAATAAAACAAAGATCAGGCCTCATCGCTTTGGTTAGCTTCTCTGCCTAGTGCAGGACCTGTGAGGAGAAACCCAGAGCGTCCTGCAGAGATGTGACTCAGGACGCAGCCCCCCCCCCCCCCCCCGTGTCGATGTTAAAACAAAAAGAGAGATGCCGAAGCTTCGCCCTTCATCACACTTAGAGCTGCGACCGCTTCGCTCTCTAATGGAGCTTCATCCATTTCAAATGACAGAATCCATTACGGCTGCATGCACCGCTCTGCAGCACAAGTGTTGCATGCTCTGGATTTATTCTTCTTATTCGCTGATAATGTGCGCAAACTAAACTGAGACTCTGCTTTTTTGTCTTTGACCTCAGGTTGATGATTCAGTTGAGCGTGTGCGGTGGAAGTTTGAGGCGTCAGAGACACAAAGAGAAAGAAATGTAAAAGTAACGACAGTCTACCGAACAGTAAATAAAGTTTGCAGGACGATTAGACAAACACATATCCTGAGGGGGGTTCATTTTTAAACTCGTAAAGATGTTAGTTTCTCATATGTGTTGCAGCAGGGGCGGGTCAAGAATCCAAATCTATGATTGACTATTTGCGTCATCAGAGGCGGGACTTAATTACAAATCGACTGTTCTGGCTGTTTTGGTCGTACTCTCAGATGTACATAAACACTTTACCTTCTCCATAAAATGTTCTAAGGAGAACCTTGTGCACTTTGTCCAACCTGCGATGGACTTTGTTGCAAATAAATGTATTTTTGCAAGTGAGACAGTTGGCAAAAGTTTGCATGCAATTTTTATTCATATTGAAAAAAAAGCGACATTAGGAATGACCCTCTGACAGCTTTTTCTACTTTCCAGATATGATAAGAAATCTTTACTTAGAAAAATGTGGATTCTGTGCATCACGTGTTGGTGGCTTCTTTGGCGTCTCCTTTTCAGATATCAGGGCTTTGATGGTGAAATTGTTCAAAAATCAGGAACTCATCCGGACCCTCTCAAAAAAAAAAAACGCCTTTCCTTGTCTTCATCTGGAAGAATGTCTTCCACCCAGAAGAAGGGCTCCATCTTTTTCAAACCCTCCTCAGCTCTGTCTTTAGATGTGGACCAACATCGGTCCTCACAAAGATACATAACACTCACACACTTTGTGATCCTGCAGAGATTTAGTCTCCGAGTTTAACCCTCCTGTAGCTTTACTGCAGCACTGAGGCAAGACTGACCCCCTAAACCTGGAGCACAACAACCTGACCAGCGGGACACTGTCTGTGTGTGTGTGTGTGTGTGTGTGTGTGTGTGTGTGTGTGTGTGTGTGTGTGTGTGTGTGTGTGTGTGTGTGTGTGTCTGTGTGTGTGTGTGTGTGTGTGTGTGTGTGTGTGTGTGTGTGTGTAGATTTGACCCTGCCCTGGAAGTGTTTGAGTATCCTCATAAAAAAAGAAGGGTTACAGCAGGTAAACAGGGGACCAGGAGTGTGTTTTTGTGTACGTGTGTGTGTGTGTGTGCGTGTGTGTGCGTGCGTGTGTGTGCGTGCGTGTGTGTGTGTGTATTGCTTCTGCGCTGCTCGCTAAACTGACACATTTTCAATCACACGGTTTATTCGGGGAAATTGTTGAAAAAGAGGAAGAAAGGGCAGATTTCTGTGACTCTGTGGGCTCCAACAGGACAAGCCAGGATTAGTTTTTCACTTTGTGTGCATGTGTGTGTGTGTATATATACAGGTGTTTGTGTGTGTGTGTGTGTGTGTGTATATACAGGTGTTTGTGTGTGTGTGTGTGTGTGTGTGTGTGTGTGTGTGTGTGTGTGTATATCCTAAGACAATGCCCTGGTAGCCAATTTGTAATATATAGTCGGCCTTGAAAAATGGCCCAGATCTCCCCTTTGCTGTCTGCAATTTAGCTCTGCCGCCGCCCGGCAATACCCATTGTACTGCCTCCCACCACTGCCATTTTGTCCTGATGGAGTGCGTGTGTGTGTGTCTGTGTGTGTATGTGCGTGTGTTTGTTTACTTACTTATGTGCATCTCAGTGTGCATTTACCCATGAGTCTGTCTTTTTGTGTGTGTGAGCGAGTGGCTGTGTTTTAAACTCAGGTTATTGAATTTCTGCTTGTGCACCGGAGTGTGTGTGTGTGTGTGTGTGTGTGTGTGTGTGTGTGTGTGTGTGTGTGTGTGTAGTTGTGTAGTTTTGATGTTTGTGTGTACCTACAGTTGTTTAGTTTATCTGAAGCCTGTACAGCTGATTTTCTGTGTGCATGTGTGTGTTTGATGCAGTGCACTTACTCGTCTACTTTCCAAAATGACACGTGGAGGCGTTGGTGTGGAACTGATGGACAGGATGCAGAAAGGATAAAAAGAAAGAAAGGAGAGTTAACTTTGAAACCTCAGCCTGATTTTACACGTTTGGGCTCTAAATGACTGATAGCATGGACTGTAGATTGCTTCAGCATGCAGCAGCGAAACAGGCTGTAATTACTGTTGTGAGGTTCAAACACTGGGCTATTTGTTTAAAAATGATAAAGCCATAACATTCAAATCCTCCAGGGGGCGCACCTACATTTCAGGGATGTCCCCCAATCCTCTCCTGCACCTTTCCTGTCCTCAGCCTATAGTCTGTCTCAACACTCTGCTAACGGTTCATACTGATCTGGATCTGGACCGCGGGGGTCGTGGTCTGGAGACTCTTGAGGAGAAACCACATTTATGTCGTAAAGGAGTCGTCGCTCATGGCTAAACAACCTAGCTAAACTCGCTAATTAGTTTGTGTGTGACACATACAGCTGAAATGGCTTAAGAATGGTGTTTTTGTTGAAGTTTGATGTGGTGCATTTGCTCGGTTGCAGGACGACGTTTCAGCCGTTACAGCCTGTTTCACTGCTGCAGGCCGAAGCGACCGACTGGAGTGATACCTGAACCTTTGTTCTTCAAAGTCTGCAAAAAATAAAAATTCAGCCGTTACAGCCCATTTCTGTGTACTTCAGCGTTTTCCAAAAGGCTCAAATACTCTGTGTGACATCCATGTTTTTATGACGTTCCTTGAGAGCTGATTTGATCATTGGTGTTCTCACTCAGACTCTCGTTCTCTTCAAACCTGCCCGTCGTATAATCAGTAAAGTGGAGCGACCTCGACCGCCTCTTTCTTCTCCCTTCTTTTCATCCTTTATTGTTTTTCTTTTCTCGTCCTCGCCGTCAGCAGCCGTGTGTTTCCTAGTCATGCATCAAGAGATCAAATCTAAAAGTAATACAATCTCTGGACTTACATCTCTGTGCTTTAATTTAAAAACCAACTCCTGCCGCCGTATACGTAGCTTTAAAGCTGAAATAAGTTATGCCGCCGCCGCTGCCCTCGCTTCACCCTCTGACAAGAACAATAGCGGCCGGCTCGCCTCAGAAAACTGTGTTTTACAATAATACTCGTCCACAAAGCAAGACCGACAATGTCAATGGTTTTATGGTGCGCTACACCGTGCAGCTAATGTTCTCCTGTGAGCCGGCATCGCTTCACTGCCTCTCCCTCTCTCTCGCTCTCCTCCTCCTCCCGGTGTCTCTCGCCCTCTCTCCCCCCCTCTGATTTTTTTCCCTCCTCTCTTTTATTCTCCTCAGCTCTCCCTCGCTCCCCCCTCTCCGTATGAAAAATCCATCCCGGCATGGGTTTTGACAGCCTGTCTTGGGTGGGTGTGTAGATTCAAATAATTCACTGTGCATAGACAGTCACTTTGGGCCTGCTTTGTGTTTTCTATTTGACTCCGTGTCACTTCCAGTCCCAGTCGGCGGGGGTTTCGCTTTCAGAGAAATCTGGAGGTTTATTTCAGGGTTTTTTTTGTGAATATTTCCAAAGACAGGAGCCTTTAGAGGACCGACAGAGGCCTCACCTACGATTTAAGATTCACCTGCAGACCCAAACTTATCAGCCTACCGTTTGTCCATGAGCAAAAAAAAGTAGAAAAAATTACAATACAGTACTGAACTGTGGCCAAAACACGTCCTCATATTTGCATAAACCAGGTGTGAGTACAATGCATGACACATTACAGACACATACATCATCACCTGTGATTGTGACATCATGGAGGAGAAATAAACTCTGTGTTTTATGAACATTTCATCTCAATTCAGCCTGACCATTGGTGGCGCCGGTTATCTTGAGGTTGGTGCGACTCAAGTCCTCCAAGCGGGCGGCCCGGGTTTGAATCCGAATTGTGGCTCCTTTCCCACATGTCGTTCACACTCTCTCCCTGATTTCTGACTCTATCCTCTGTCGTAGCTCTACATTGACATAAAAATGAAATAAAAAAATCAGTCAGCCATCTTTGAAAAGGTCTCTTCTCCGAGAGCTCTAAATGAAGTAACGAGGGTTTGGATAGCGTGTGGTTGGACAGGATGAGTTTGCACTGAATGAAAACGGTCACAATCAAACGTTTTGTTTATTGTTGCCGTTGACGATCTCCGACGTCAGGACCTTTTTTTCTTTGTGTCCATTGAGCTACAGATGCCCAAACTGTCCACAGGTTTTTATTTTCCTGAATTAGTTTCTCACTTTAGATTTCTTTGACTTCTGTTTTCTTGTGTTGATCTGTTTTATTTGCAAACTTCTTTCTTGTATTTGACCTGTTTTGATTTTCCTGCCTTTAAATGATTCTCTTTCCCCCTCCTCTTCTTCTACATCTTTTTCCTTTTTTCTTCTTCTTCTTCTTCTTCTTCTGCTCCTGCTGGTTGTTTTCCCCGTCGTTAAGGAACCTCTTCACGTTTCTTTGTTTGTTTCACAGTGACCCCTACTGGGAGCGGCCGGCTAATGCGGGCAGCTGCTCCGCCGCCCGGCCCAAGACCCTTCACCTGGCCGGCCAGCAGCACACCTCGTCACCATGGTAACGTGTGCGCTCCTGGTAGCAGTAGTGGTAGAACAGTAGTGGTTGTAGTGTGTGTTTGTGTGTGTGTGCTCTGTTTGATTTGAGCTGTGTGAACATTAATTCTACTTAAAGATGTTTCTTTTAGTCATTGAGAGCACGATAAACATGACGTTAAAGACAGAGTCAGTATCTTTCTCCTTCAAAATAAAATACAGACTTCTCCTAAAGTAAAGCTGCTCCATCGTCCCTTCAGGGCCTCCATACATGTGTGGTGGTGACTGTGTCTGCAGAGACCCTGTACTCTGACTGGATTTTACTGTTCTGGTTTGTTCTGGTTGACTCGGGACGTTTCTGGGGCAGAGCTGGTGTGTTTCCTCCAGCCAATGACAGCGCAGCAGGTGAGTTTAGGAGAGGATACAATTCAAAATCAAACCGGTGAATATGACTGACGTTGAAGTAGCAGCAAAGACGAGCGGATGAAGCTCGTTCTAAAACGAGGGTGAACCTTGTGTTGTGTTTTACCCGTGGACGTGGAGTTGGTCTGCTTCCTGTTGGACAGGCAGGTGACAAACAGCGGCGGTTAGCTTGTGCTAGCGTGTGTTAGCTTGCAGTGTAGCTACAAGCAGTAAACGTGCACACTACGTCCTGCAGGGGGCGGAGCTTCTGGAGGAGCCCACGAGGAGAGGCCATGTTTGAAGGTTGTGTTTACAACCTTCAACCGGGCCTAATTGGAAACTTGACTTTAGTCCAGCATGTGCAAATCAATAATGGAGTGATACCTAAATCGTCATATCAGCACAGCACTCCATGTTTTCTTTTGTTGATTGATTTCTATGAGTTTGTCTCATTTCAGGATTTGAACCCTGAGATTCTTAAGTGACAAAAACTTGTGTTTAAATCTTCTTAACCTAGATCTCAGCTGTGTTAGGAAATTGTACGGCTACAACAGTTGTTCAGCATGATGTGTGTGTGTGTGTGTGTGTGTGTGTGTGTGTGTGTGTGTGTGTATGTGTGTGGCTGTAATTTGCTCCTTCCTGGCTCCCGTATCACTACTCTTAAATCCGTCATCTTTCCCTCCTTTTCCCCTCCTCTTTCATCTTCTCATCAGTCTTTGAGAACAGAGAAAGGAAGGGATTTACCAGAAAGTCAACTGCAGCCTGATGCATTGTGTTTGTTACTTTGGTGTGTGTGTGTGCGTGCCTGTGTGTGTGTGTGTGTGTGTGTGTGGTGGATTACAGTAGTGCAGAATAAAGGAGGGATTTGTGTCGGAGTCGTGCGGAGAGCTGAAAGGAGACGACAGTTAATAACTCATTACAGGACGAGCTTTACACCATGTAGGTCTTATTTTAACACGCACACGCACACGCACACACACACACACACACACGCATGCATACACACATTCGCGCACATACACAAGTCTTCTCCCACACATCTGAAAAATGTGAAAATTCTTGCAGCACATCAGTCTGTAATGAGTGTTACCCATGGAATAAGAAAAGAGAAGTGTGTGCGTCCGTCTCTTCAGGGGGCTTTTCTGATGTGGGTGTGTGTGTGTGTGGATGTTTGTGTGTATAGGTGTGTGTGCGTGTGTGTCCAGAAGGTGAAATTGAGATAAATGGTCGAGGAGCCCGGTGGCCACAGAGGCCCCTGATATACACTCCACCTGTCTACTCTGCTTACAGCTGTGTGTGTGTGTGTGTGTGTGTGTGTGTGTGTGTGTGTGTGTGTGTGTGTGTGTGTGTGTGTGTGTGTGTGTGTGTGTGTGTGTGTGTGTGTGTGTGTGTATGTGTGTGTGTGTGTATGTGTGTGTGTACTACCACACATGTTCATGTAAAGTATATTCAGGTCTCTATTCCAGTTTGACTGTTTCTCTGTTATACTGTTTGTATTGTACTCCTGAGTCCCTCCATTCTGTCAGTGTGTTTGTTCCTTTAGATGTGTGTTTGTTTGTTTGTGTGTGTGTGTCTTAGTGTGTGTGTGTGTGTGTGTGTGTGTGTGTGTGTGTGTGTGTGTGTGTAAGTAAGCAGAGAGGCTGTAAACTAAAAGAGACAGATATACCAGAGGGCTGTTGTTAATCAAATGCTACCTAAGCTAAGCTAGAGGAAGTGTGTGTGCGTGCGTGCGTGCGTGCGTGCGTGCGTGCGTGCGTGCGTGCGTGCGTGCGTGCGTGCGTGTGTGTGTGTGTGTGTTAAAGGAAAGAAAATATAAAACTCTGGCGTCTCATTTATTCATATTGCAGTCACATATACCAGGCCTCTAACTGCTGTACACCACTTCCACTTGCCACTAACTATGGATAACAGGTATTGTTTTCAATCAAAACCGAGCCGTTTAAAAAAACATTCACCCCCCGTACAGTGTGTGTCGATCGAGACATGAGCGAATCAGATCTATTTCTTTTTTTGAACCAGGCTGTAAACATGTTAATCTCTCCTGTAAAAACAGGCTTTTTAGAATGGGTGTGTATGTGACTTCCTGTGCTTCTGCAGCCAGCCTCTAGTGGACACTCGAGCTGCAGCACAGATGTGTGAATTAGCGGTCATTCTTACCACCCTCTGTCTCCCTCTCTTTTTGTCACCATTTCTCAATCCTCCAGCTCCTATCTTTCTCTCTTCTCTCTCTCTCTCTCTCTCTCTCTCTCTCCCTCTCTGTATTGTTTCATGCATGTGCCCCCCCCCCCCCTCCTGTGTCACACGTGTCGACTCCTGGCGTGTCGCTGACTGTGTTCAACTTTCTCTCTTTGATACCACTCTTTCCTCTCTCACCTTTCCTTTCGGTGTAACCTACTTTCCAGAAAATACGATACAGATTCTTCTTCTTCTTCTCTCTGTGTTTGTCTTTTCTTTTCGGAGCGCGCTCCCTGGATTCAATAATTTAACCTTTTCTCTTGTTTTGTCTTTTATTTCTCTGTATTTTATCATCTACCTGAGTCTTTGTCTGGCAGGAAACATGTTAATAATGGATTGTATAGATTTAGACCGGCAGCTGGTGTGTGTGTGTGTGTGTGTGCAGCGCGGATCTTTTGATGTGGTCAGGTGATGTTTGGAGTCCAGCAGCATTGATCTTGAGGGCCGTCTGTCTGATTGCTCGTGAAATCAACAGTCAGAATGTTTGAAGAGCTTTGTTTGATACACATCAGCAGGTAGACGTTTCGCTAATTTCACCTGAAGCCTTGTTTACCTTCAAGAACTCGAACAAGAAGATGAGAAACTTTCAGATTTCAAACTGCTCTGATTAGTTTCTGTGTGTGAGTGAGTTTGCCGAGTAGCCACGGCGTGCATATATTTTGTTTTTATTTGGAATGATCAACACCTTCCTGTAGTTGTGCTGTTTCCACCACCAGGGGGCTCTCAATCACAACAATAACAAAAAGATGACATTTATGAGTATGAGTCATGATTTCTCTGTATGTTTTTTCCTTTATTTTAACTGTATTGCTTTGTACAGCATTTTGATTTAAAGCGCTTTATAAATAAAGTTATTATTATTATTATTATCTAGGCTGGCGGGGAATCATGGGAGTTCTCTCTGCTACAACCCCTTTCCCCCAGAGTTGACCGTAGTCATGACGACCGGGCTAAACCAACCTGAGGAAGAGAATATGTTTACAGACGAGCTACTGTATCCGAGAATAATCTACATGACGTTTTTATCACAGCAGCACAAACAGCAACAGGAGGACAGCTTTCAGTAGCAGCTCATGCTTCATTATGCCGCGGTCTTTGACGTAACATCCGGTTTCCACAGCAACGATTAACATGTCGTGTGTGTCAATAGCGACTCTGTCAAGGCAACCGCCACATCAAGACACGTTCCATTAGAATTTACAAACAAACAAACAACAAACTAACAAACTTACGGATTTCTCTGGCTTTGAGAACTGTAGGAAATCTTTGAGGGGCGGTATAGAGCTCTACGACGGAGGATTAAAAATTATTTTTTTAATTTCGAGATTAAACTCGTAAATTTACGAGATTAATCTCGAAATTTAACTTTTTAAAATAATTTTTCTTACGTGGCCCTAATCCTCCGTCATAGAACTCAACAAAAACATACAAAAATAGGTTTAGTCAATTTTGTTATTTATTTTGTATTTTGATGTAATCTAATACATTCTACATATTTGACCTTTAAAGCTGCAGCCTGAATAAAATGGATTCCCTGCAGAAATTGTTCCAACTTCCAGAACATTCCTGGCGTCCTATAAGGTGTTCGAAAAGTGTCTTAAAGTATTTTTTGTTTCATCTGGAGTGTCAGTGTGGATGTGCTGTTTGGAAAGAGTTAGATGGCTTCTTTTTGTTCTCTGGAGGGAATAAAACAGCAGCAGAGCTTCATCTGATAACGTGTTGCTGCCATCTCTCTCTGACTGCTATGAATCAGGTGTTGTCACCACCGGGCCTCCGCTCAGCCCTGTGCGGAGAATACCCCAAAACATCCAGATAAACATTTACACTCTTCATTTGGCCTCTCTTAACATTCCTGAACACACGCAGGAGCCTGTCAGTGAACGCCACATCACTCCCCCTACCTGCAAGTCCCTCACCTGCTTTCACATCAGAGCCTCATCTTTGACACGTGGTGTACCTGAGCGCTGAGGAGAGGCGTGCCACAGTCCCAAAGCGCCCCTCGAAAAAACTGTTCAAAGCGACGTCTTTTTCACTTTTAGAGGAGCGTTCAATAGCAGCAGTGTCCCCCCCCCGCTTGTCTCTCTGATAACTCCCTCTTCTCCTCGTCTATCCATCCTCATAACTGCAAATCCCTCACCTCATTGGACAGCTACCCACCTGTGGCGCCCGCAAAGACTCGCTCAAATCCAGAGCAAACACACGCTCCTTTTTATTCCCTCAACATGTGTTTGTTTTGCCTGATTCCGGGGGTTTTGTTTACAGTGAAAAGATTTGACTTTCACCCCCTGTCTTCACCTGCCTGTGCCGCTGTGCCGCTGCTCGCTGTAGCCTGCGGCACTTTTTTTTTCCTCTGCATCGCCCGGGCTTGTTACTGCAGCGAGATTCCCA